ATTAAAAATAGGTTTTTTTTTTCATCACACATAGCCATTTCTGGCATACGGGTTTAAATTAAAAATAGTTGGTAATTTATATGTTTTACTTACGCCCATAAATTTCCAAGTAAGATCAATTGAACGAACATGACTCTCCTTTCATTCGAATCAGCAAGTCAAAAGGTATAACAAGCAATAACTAATTGTTACCTCATGTAGTTTTATATTAACGGAATTTTGTCTGCAAAATGATGCTTTTTGTCCTATACTGAAAATGGCTACTTTTATTGAATATGTGAATCATTAAAAAGCGCTCTTTTGGATAAATCAATCTGTTATCTGAGAAGTGTGGTGTTCCACATTATTCCACTGGACGAAGTTGTTGAATCATTCTTTGATTCTTTGGCATGGACAGTCCAGCGGTTTTCCAAATATCACATTTGAGAACTTTGTGTCCCAAATTACAATAATATAGCAAGTGTAAGGGAAGAACCGAATTGGAGGAAAGTCAAAATAGACGTTTGAAAATTAAAATCATATTTACGAGAACCGACAGAATAATCAATGAACTAATTATTGCGTTTGGGTAAGCTTAACTTGGTGGAAAAGATAGAAGTAAAGAATAAAATGCCGAATACATGGAAAGAATATTTACTAATAACGATTAATTAAAAGAACTGAGAATAATTAGGATCAATTATTGAGGAATCTCTTTTTTTACGAAATATTTACGTCAATCATAATCGTAATACGCATAGGAAATTATCGAAGACTATCAGGAGCAATATGATGTTCTGATTGGTCAGGATCAACCAAATAAATTAATAAATCTAGTAAGAAAGTGTATGACGGAAATATTTTATAAAATTCGAATCAGTTATTTTTATTCCGAGAAGTTTATGGTTATTTGATTTATTCTTCATTATTCAGCATTTATATCTTACGGTCTCGATGCAGTCTGAATGTGTTTGCTAAACACTTCCCTATCTGTGACCAACTTCTCCACTTCGCCCAAAGTAATTAATTCTTCTTTACTTTGCCAAATCTGATGTATGCCTGCCTGATGGTAATCTATTTATCGGCATTCTTAGAGGGCAGTGGGTAGATATTCTTCACGGCCCCGGTGAGGATTCGATTTAATTATAGGATATAGCTACCAATGTAAGCTCTTGATTTTGCACAATGGCCTTTGGATGAGAAAATCATGACACTAACTGACTATCCTTTATAGTCATTACTATTGTAACCATGTCCTCATTAGTAGTAGGAACGGTGATGATTACGGATTTATTTACTTCCCGAGGGGGAAAAATTTCTACTATACATTGAAGATAGAACTCGACAGGTGTCCTCGAATTGATGTAAAAATACTGCTAGAATGCTTTAATGCTAAGGTTGGCCAGGAAGAGATGTATCGCTATCGCCCTACGACTGGGAAACGAAGCTTCCATGCAAGAAGCAACGAGATTGGCAAGAAATTAACCAACTTTACCTTCTCAAGGGATTTGGTTACTGGGAGTACCTTATTCCCTGGTAAAAGGATTCACAAAAAACACTTGGAAGTCTCCAGATGGTAAAACATTCAAACAAATTGATCATCTCTTTATATCGTCTCCCCACAGATCCAACCTCATCAGCAGCAGAACCTTTCTTGGTGCTAACGTGGATTCAGATCATTGCTTGGTAATATCCAGAATACGAGCTAGAATCTCCAATAGCCACACAGTAAGGAGGAAGACTAGTAAAAAAATTAACGCAAACAGTTGAAGGGACCTGAAACTCGCAAAAGATATGAGCAACAGTACTGTCATCAGATGAATAATATAATGAAAGAAATGAGCAGGAATTCTGAATTAGAAGATGAATGTAGGATTTTTAAAGACACTATAACGAAAGCTACAGAGTTAGTATATGAATCGAGAAATTCTAGAGATGAGTGGTTTGATTTAGAATGTCAGGCCTCAACAGGTGTAAAAAACTGAACTTACAAATCGACGGTGTACAGTAGATATACCAGGCTAGCGTCGGAAAAGTATAGAACTTTGCGGGAAGCGGAGAAGAAACTTTCTTAGAGAAAAGAAGAAATCCTGGGAAATGAAAAAAAAATGAGATAAATCAAGGAACTACGAAAGGTAAATGATAGCAGACTCTTTTATCGTAGGATCAATCAGGAAGAGCCGATTTCAAAACAACTTCTATCCTCTGCAAGAGCGAGGACGGTTAGTTGCTCAAGAAGAAAGAAGAAATTCTCCAAAGATGGGTGCGTCACTTTGATGTTCTGCTGACAGACTCTACAGTAGAAGACGCAGAGGAAGTTGCCAGGAATGAAATTCAAAACGAGAACTCAGAAAAAAAGAATGAGCCCCCTTCGGATTTCGAAGAAGTTATGGAAGTGATCCAAAGAATGAATAACGACAGAAGTTCGGATTTGAATGGCCTTGCAATAGAGCTTCTTAAATATGGATGTGGAGACTTGCATAAGATCTTTCATAATTTGACGGTGCTGATCAGAATTGATGAAAACGAGTGACCACTAAACCAACAGAGTAAAAAAAAAAAGGAATAGTTTGCCCAATCTACAAAAATGTGATAGGCTTGATTAAAAAAATTATAGAGGAATATCGCTCCTACCCACAGCATATGAATTCTATCCGGAATTCTCTTCAATCGATTGTGTCGCTATGCTGAACAAATAGTAGAAAAGTACCAGACTGGCTTTAGAAGTGAGAAATCCACACTGTACCAAATCTTTTTCCTGAGGACTTGGAGAGAGGGATTGAATATAATATGGCAACCTAACATATTTTCGTAGATTTCAAGAATGCGTACGATAGTATTAATTGCTCCAAAATTTACAAGGCATGAAGAATTTGGCATTCCCAGGAAGCTTATCTGCCTTGTTAAGATGACCATGTATGGTATGAGGAATGTCATCAAAATACAAAGAGAGTGCTTGAGCGATTTTCAGAACAATAAGAAGATGCGTTGCCATGCCTGATGTTCATTCAAGGGCTTGAAAAAGCAGAAAGGGGTTCGGAGGTACAGACAAGAGGAATTGTTGTCAACAGTAGTGTCCAGATCTTAGGCTGGACTGACGATATTGACATAGTTGCAAGATCCAAATCTGAGCCGAGTAAAGATTTTTTGGCAATACAACAGGCAGCTTCGTGCTGGCCGTAAGGGATATTGATTGACCAGTTTCTGTAAGCAAGTCATCATTGGTCTTTCTTCTCCATGCATAAGTATTTTGATCCCAGATACCTCCAGTTATCGTGCGTACTTTATATATATATACCCAACATGAAACACCTTTGAAAATGTAGAGAAGTTTAAGTATCTGGGATCTACAATAACCGAAAGGAACGAAATTCACAAGGACACAAATGGAAGGTTAAAGGCATGTATTTGATATTTCTTATAAGCAAAATTGCTCAGTTGGCGCCTACTTTCTAAGTCTCCGAAAGTTACAATTCACAGAACTATTATCCTTCGCACTGTTATTCATAGCTGCGAAGCGTGTCTCTTACTTTGAAGAGAAGACTAATGCATTAAGGTCTTCGAAAATAAAATATTGCGTAGAATACTTGACCTGAACATTTGTTTTTTCTTAAGCTTTTTTACTTTTTCGACTTCCGCCATGATAGCTCCAGAGCCAGGGCCCAAAAATCGACCAGATCGCAAGCGAAGGTTTGAGTGTAAATTACAAAAGTGTACGTCATTCTAAATAAAATGAAGTTTTTCTGCCATTCCAGAGCTGCTGCTTTTAAAAATGGCGGCTGATTTAAAGAATACTAGGCCAGTAACTCGAGGATCGAAACGGGAACATTCATTGCGAAAAATATGAGAAAAGTTTTTATTTTTTTAACTTATATATGTGGGTTTAGACAGGTAAAAAACAAAATTGCTAACGCGGTCCACCATGAGAAAACTTTTTACATCCAAAAATGTTTGACAATTTTTGAAAAAATCAACGTTTTTTGACCGTGATTTTCTACCATACCACTTACTCAAATTATAAAGTTTAGATACTCGTTTAAAACACAATTTAATGTTTTGTAATTTCTTAATAAGTATAGTTTTTCGCTTCGATGCATCGCTTAGAAGCTATATGTGAAAAAAGATCGAAAAAATCTGGCTTTTTGGCTGTAAAAAGTTTTCCCTTGGTGGCCCGCGTTAGTAATTTTGTTTTTTACATGTCTACAGCCATATATTCAAGTTTAAAAAATAAAAAAATTGTCCCCATTTTTCGCAAAGAATTTCCCCTTTCGATCCTTAAGTTAATGGCCTAATATTGTATAAATCAGCTGCCATTTTTTAAAGCAGCAGCTCTGATATGGCAGACTAGGTTCATTTTACTTAGGATAACATACACTTTCGTAATTTACATTCCAACCCCCACTGTTACATTGGACCCTGGCTCCAGGGCTTCTATCAGTCTCCTAGCAGCTTTTTTGGGCTGTTATAGGCAACAGCTGTGATCGTTTGGTTCTCTTCTTGAAGATATCGAGTGAGCATGTGGTTTACTAACTGGATACAATCACAAATCACTACCTCAGCCTGAAAAAGAAGAGTCCTTGTACCCTTTTAAAATGAAATAAATCTTCAACTATTTATCAAGTAATATCATCGAAGTTATTGAAATGAGCAGGTAAAATTGCGACGAGTAAACTTTGGAGGGGTATAGAGGTGGTGAAGGAAGGATTTCCTTACTGCTGTTCTTGCAGTATAGCGTTTTCACTGCAGTTGGTGGAGAGAGGTATGTGCAGCGACTGTTGATATCCATTTGTTGAAGTAGGTAATCAACCCAAAAAAGGCTTTTTGAAATGCCTGAATTCTAAGGAATTACATTGTTCAACAAGGTTATTGAAAAGTATTGAATGGGAAGTATTAATGCCTCATTTTCAATGTGAGGTATGAGCAATTTTAATTTTAATGAGAGAAGGAGAAATGGTTCATGACTACTTATGTAAAATTTATTCTACATAAGGAGTGGCTCTGAGGAGAAAGAATATTTCCTTTTAAATATTAAAAAAATAATTTTTATTTTTAAATTAAACATAAATACAGAAAAATATATAAACATTTACATCAAAAGAAAAAGAAAAGGAACCTTATTCTTATATTTATACAATTATATTTACAAATAGATACACTTATATATTTTCTTTATACAATTTACTATAATCTTATTGTAAATACCCCAGTTTGTTTTGATTGAGCAAATGTAACGGCATCGTGAATGCTGGGAAAAATCGGAACTCCTGTGTCCTTAGTTACATTACAAAACCTTAAGGTTTCAGTCGCATCAGCTAAAAAAATATATATTTATATAATTATTTACCAATCAAATGGAAAAAAAATTTATCACATACTTTATCTATTTTTAGATCTAACTTTAAATAATGGATTTCTAACTTAATATAATTATTTATAACAAGATCTAGGGTGCATTTAGCAAGAGCAGAAGGGAAGCAATTTTCTAAATTTAATTTCTTTCGTACCCTATTTTTCTTCATATTGAGGTTTTTTTATTTATTTTGTAATTAATTTCTTTTAAGATGCTAAAATACTAAAAACATGATGCTTTTAATTTTTTTTTTTGCTTCTCTTGGATTTACAGACCGTGTAAATCTTTTGCCACCTTAACCAGCCATCTTCATCAGGGTATATAAATATAAACACAGGAAGCATATTACAATATATGGAGCTAAAGTAAATAAATACACTTATCATATAGTTTTAAAATAAATTAATATAATGTAACATTTTTGAGAACTTTATTTCTAAAAATTGGTGTGAGACCCACAAAGGTTTACTAATTAAGTTAATGTATTATGTTTTCACTAGTAAAATAATGCAATGAAAGCCTGCTTGCCATAATATTTATTTTCATAGGATATGATTCAGCAAATAGAATCCAACTTTAACTTGTAAGCATGTTTGTTCATATGTTTGGTGGTATTTGGGTATGAACATTAGTAATTATTTCATGTATATCATGAGTTTAAATTTACCTGAGAGTCCAGCTAAAAATAAAGCCTTATTTTCTCTACTAAGTTCATTGATTAAACTCTTGAGACATTCTGCTCCAGATGGGTCTATATATGTTAAACATTTAAAGTCCAAAATGATTGTTTCCTGCAAAAAAAAAGGTTTTATTTTTTAAGGTATAAAGTTATTTATGAGTTGGTTTATATAAAAAGTAGGATAGGTTGAAAGAAATCATTTGCAATTTTTTTAAAAAAATATTTTACTCATATAATCCAAATACAGTATTAAATATTGTTTTAGACTGAAGGTCAAATATAAACTAAAATTGGAAAGATCAAAAATAACAATATTTAAAGGGACCATTATTTTTTAAGTATTAAAACAATTTGGGCTGAGTTATTTTTTCACCATATATTTATTCATTCAACATAATATTTTGGCCAATAGTATTTTTAATATTTTTCTTCTGCTATTTTTTTTAGAAACCCACTAACAATAACACCCCTCCCTTCTCTATAAATAATACTACCAATGCCAATTTGATTCGGGCAACATCAGATATATTTTAGAATATGTTTTAATTTTTATATCTATCAATTTGAATATGATTTGTATTTCTTTATAGCATACAATAAAAAATAATAAATTCTAAATCATTATATAATTATTTATAGTAAGTATGTTTTAGTGATTGTCAACTTTTTGAATTATGTATTATCTTTGAGAAATCAAGGATAGATTTAGGTATAAATTTTAAAAATCTGAGGGTAAAATGTTGTAATTAATACAAATACATTGTTATCCATTTCTATAGCTTTATTATCAACATTTATGCGTATATCAACAAAAACAAATAATAGTTAAAAAACATTCTAACACTATCACATTGTTAGTAAAACAATATAGTTATAAAATAAATATATAATAATATTTGTAATTTATTATCAGCAGTAAATATTAAAATTTCAAAGACAGAAATAATTTGATAAATGTAAAAATCAACTTGCCTGTAATATTTCTGGTGAAGAATCTTTATTTACTTCATTTTCGTTAGGATCATTAGTCTCCAGGAGTTTAAGCAACTTGGCTTTAAAAAATGATCTGTTCACAAAGTTTAAACAGCCTGAATATCTAACTATTCTGATACCTGGAAGATCTGTTGTCTGTAAAATATAGATTTTATTTTAAAATGATAATTGATTATCAATAAAATTAATATCATGTTGAACTACGAAGTACATTAGTATTATGAATAATATTTATTTCAAAGTATATATATTTAAATCACTTTTTTATGAATTGTATTTAATCAGTGAAAATTTATTGTTTAAATTATTAATGACAGTAAAACTATTCATTATTACAGAAAATATTTCTTATATTAAATTAAATTATTAATTACATTAATTTAATCATAAATTAATAATCATCAGTACAGGGGTGCACAGAAGGGGGTTTCATTGCACAAGTTGTGCCATCAAAAGTTTCAAACCAGAGGAGAAGGGGAAAATGTGGAACAGACTATAGTAAATGGAATTGTATATGATCTACGATTTTTTAAATTCTGCTTTTGCTAGCATCATTTTTAAAAAAGATTAGAGGAATAACATGGCCAACTGTTGCTATTATGATATGAGTCAACACATGAAAAGCATCCTTGTGACTGAGCGTAGCAAATTAATCCTCTACAAGACTCTTCTCAGACCGGTTTTAAGTTATGCATCAGAGATCTGAACGATAACCAAGGCAGCCGAGCAGGACCTCCTAATATTTGAACGAAAAATTCTAAGAAGAATTTATGGTTCAGTGTGTATGAATGGAGATCTACCAGCGATTTAATGAGGCCAATATTATCTATTTTATAAGAGCAGGCCATCTCAGATGGGCAGGTCATGTGGCCAGAATAAGAGACCACATGATCCCAAAGGTGTTGGTAAAAATCCTAGGAGTGCAACGAGTAAGAAGATGATCGAAGTTAAAATGGAGGAACAGCATGGTCAAAGATGCCAGGAAGCTAGGAGTTCGAGACTGGATGGTGGCAGCACAAAGCAGGGACACCTGGCGGATGCTGTTGGCTGAAGCCATGAGTCACTAAGCTGGATGTAGAGCCAGTATAGATAGAGGACATAACATATCTTAGGAAGGAGAGGTACATGTGCCATCAACCTTGAGAGGATGGACACCTCTCCATCAGTAATTAATTTAAAAATCTAAAAATTGGCTGATTCCTAAAATTATTGTTTACCCATATTGTCACATGTAGGTAACAATTTTGGAGGCTGAGTGGCCGATTGGGCTAACGCGTATGCAAAACATGCGTTGCCCGGAGCATCTTGTGATAAACCAAAGTTTACAGATTCAAATCCTGGTGCTGAGGAGATTTTAACTCTGGCATAAACATTCATCTGGACCGGGAAAAACGTTGTATATCCTAAATGGCTAGGAAAGGAGAGAAGAAAAAATATATAGGTAATAATTATGAAACTATCTTAAATTCTGGTAGGTATATTTATAGCTTAGAGCTGAAGGTTATAATAAAAAGTAAAAACCAATTAAGGGTCCATTTAAGTGTGCTAATAAATAAAAATGAATCAATTTTGTGGAAAAAAAATTTAAAAGTTCTATCAGAATTAGTGTTTCATCATCATCTAAAAAAAGAAAAAAAGGCTGAGTTTTGACTAATAGATATTTTGAGATTGAAAGATAATAAAATGTATTAGTGAGAACCCCTATTGAACTTATTCACTTAAGAAGAAAGTTTAAAAAACTTTAAATCTTCTTTTTAGGAATAGGCACAGAATTTCAAATATCTCGGTCCCTGGATCAAGAAAAGTCTCTATATCATTGGAGAGATGGCACTAAAAGAGCAGAGAGAGCAGCTGGAAGAATCTTTCAATTGATCTAGAAAGGTTTCTTCAATAGAAGAAAGGTGATGAAGAAAACAAAGTTATCCATCTACAAGTCAACATTCTTGCCTTTCCTTCCTTACTCCTCGAAGTCATAGACCCTTACTTCTAAATACAAGGGACAAATCCAGATAATGGAGATAAGGTACCTCAGAAAGGTTGAAGAGAAGACAGGAGAGATCCGATACGCCACACAACTATAAGGTCAAACCTTGAGGTAAAGCTAGCAGAAACTACTCTACAAGAGAATAAATTTAAGATGGATTGGACACCCTCTTAAGAGGAGTATGGAGAGCAGGATCACATACAACAGCCAGGATCACATATGAGATATGGGTGAAGGGAAGAAGGCAAGTGGAAGACCATAAATCACCTGGGAGAAAGGCATGTGGGAGACATTTAAGAAACAAGGGCTGGACTGGAACAGGAAGAGAGAGCTGATACAGGAGGACACTTGGTCCTAGTTCTGTAGAGGGTATCCCCTACACAGCACAGTGGTAGAGAGGGATTGGATTATGATGATCTTTTTTATGGTTTTATAATCACTTTTTGAAACATTTTTAAAGTAATTTCTATTATAAAATTTCATGGTATGAAATAATAAATAGTTTATTGTGGTAGTCTGGAGTGTAATTTCTGCAAATCACTAATTTGAATAATTGTTTAAGAATGGTGTAAATGAAGCCCACTAATCCAAGTTAGGATTAAAAAGTATAGTTATTAATAAAACTCTGAAGAAGTTGCAACAGAAAGCCATGAAACAACTATCAACATGGCTGTAACATATTAGATAGGCTTAGTCTCTTTTTAGATATTTTGAGTCAAATATTTTCATTAAGAAATCAATTCATCATGTTAAGAGAAATAGAATTTATCATACAAATGTAAAGTTATGTGAAATTTAAAAATTAATATATTGCTATTTTAAAAAATAAGAGAAGTTAAAGTTTTCATTACATAAAGATAATACACTTGTTAAATATTTTTTTAAGGTTATAAACAACAAATAATAAACCTTACTTTTGAATACTTCTCAACTTCAACGTATAGTTCAGAATTTGGTAATCTTTTCAGCACATCAAGTCTTGAACTAGCTCCTCTTATAATAAGACTTAAGATAGAAACAATTATTCCTATTAATAAACCGTATTCTATTTCCACTATGATCACACTCAGGTATGTGAAAATCCATATCACACCATCTATTTTCGACGCTTTCCAAATTTTAAATATATCCAGAGCTTGCATAAGTACCCCTTTGAGAGCAACAATAATTAAGCTTGCTAAAATACACTGCAAAATCAATACAAAATGCTTTAATATGATTAATTAAATATAGAATATTAATGGGTGTTTCCTAAATAATCTCTAAATATCAAAGGCATAATGGTTTTAGAAAATAATGTTTTCTTTATTGTTGTTTATTAAATTTTTATAAAATATTGTGGTTAAGTAATATTTTTTGCAATAGGAAATACTTTTTTTTTTTTTTTTTTATGATTAAGCATTATTTTTGGGTTATTATTGAAAAAACCAAAAAGAAAAGTATTAAGTTAAGAAAATACAGTTAATGACTAACTAATTTACTGCTGACATGAGATTTGTTATCTTATGCTTTTTACCTACATTAGATATTTATGTTATGAATGATACAGAATGTAGCACTAGTAAATTATTTGTTAACACTTTTATTTAGTGATATTTTTAGCTGTGATGTTTTAGTCCTGAAGAAAGTTTGAAGGTTATTTATTTAAAGTATTTTGGAAGACTTTTGGCATTTTTGGAGAAATCTTTTAATAACGACTTCATTATAAATTCACGTTTTTCAGGTTTTACTCAAATTATACATATTATTTTTTACTTATATTTGAATATTTATTCACTTTCAGTCTTTATTTTAAACTAACAGTTCAAATCTTCAATGATTTAATTATCCAGACTAACGATAACTAATTAATTATTACAAGAGTGAAGATAATTCTTTCAAATAATAATTCTGAGAAAAAAATAAATAAAACAAATTATGGATATTTTACATACTTACCCTAGGTAAAGGTTCGAATAATGGTCCAATCCACAACAAAACTATCAGTATCAGGCTACTGTTTATAAGGCTAGCTAGTTGTGTAACACCGCCAACACTTTGTTGTATCACACTTCTTGACAAAGATGCTGCAAAAGGAAGACAAGAAAAAAAGCTACCAAATATATTTCCCATTCCCTGAAATCATAAACCAATAATGAATTAGAAATATTATGAATCTAGTGGGTGTTTTGCAAAATTTACAAATAAAAACATAGATACAACTACATTTATTTAATATGCTTATCTTTTTATAAAGAAATAGATGATGAAATACAGAATTGGATGGAATTCGTAATGAAGGTTCATGAATCAGAATTAAATTAAATAAGTGACCAATTGTTTTTGTGAGAGATCCTGAATCTGCTCTTGGTGTGTAGTAAAATGGAATTTTTACATACAGTATCTTTATTTTATGGGATTAATGAATAATGAACACAGTTTATTATAATTATCCAAATTATAATTATAATAACTATCCAAAAAAAGTGCTCAAATAGATTTTAGCATTGTTCACCACAGCTTATGGATGGAAGGAAAACTAGTAAGACTTCTCAAAAAACTCTATGATGCTTCATCGATGCGGATAAAGCTAAAACATGAGCTTTCAAAAGAAATGAGTATCAGCCTGGGCCTGGTTCAAGGGAAGAGTCTTAGTCCTCATTATTTATCCTGTTTATGTCGGATATCGTTGAGTACTTTTGTGACCAAGGGGCTATTGGTATTAGTATAGACCACAACCATGAGGAAGTCATGCTTTTGTTAGCGTATGATATTGTTCTCCTCAGTAATTCCATGGTTCACAAAGAAATATCAATATACTGAGCGAGTATTGTAAAGAAAAATCTTTAAACCTAAATAAAGCTAAGCCTAAGGTGTTGGTGTTTCACAAATCTCCAAAGATGAAGAAACTTAAAACTTTTCTGAGAAAGCTGAAGAACAGTTCTTGCAAAGATCATCTGTTGCAATAACCAAAGTAATGACCATTCTAAGAAATGGAAAAACTCGGGAGACCAAAATCAGCCTCTTTGACTCAATAGACTCGTCTACAGTGCTCTATGCTGCAGAGATCTGGGGACTAAGATATCTGGATGTTCTGGAGAGGACACAGGTTCGATTTTCTAAGTCATTGCTCCATTGGCCAAGAAATACACCAAACTAAGTGGCTCGCCTTGAAACTGGAAGATCTCCATTAAGCGTTGATGTGCTAAAATTAGTAATTAATTACTGAACAAAACTGAGCTTAATGAATGATGATAGAATACCTAGACAATGCTTTAATATGCTTAGAGCTCTGGATACATCCAGAGGAAAACCTGATCCAACTTATAACAGGGGTTACCAGGAGCTGTTATTGTGTTTTATCCCAACGTCTGATGAGGTTCAAAGATGAAATAATTGAAGAAATGAGAAACCATCACGCATACAAGGACATCGACAGAGAGTTAAATACAAAATCGAACACAACATAAAGAAAAATGTACTCCTTTAATACCATTACTCCAGAAGACTATCTGCAGTTCAAGGCTCTAAATTTGAACAAACTAAGAGCCATCAGTTGTCTCAGAGTATCAAGCAATGAGTTTGTAAGAGTATACATAAAATATGCTTCCCTTACTATTAAATCTAACGGAGTATGTGAAGCATGTAACTGCCTTGTGACTGACCCGATGCCTCATTTTTTGATTCACTGTAGCAAATTTGTTGAACATAGAAATAAGTTCTTAAAGACATTTATTGTTGAATCCAAGGACGACAGTAACATAGAGGATGTTCAATAAACTATTAAGTAGTATAATTAATTACTATAGAGAAATGTTAATGTATAATTATATTGTTATTTATTTAATACCTCTAAAATATTTATACAAAAAATAATACTAAACAATTGTTTTACTAATTATGTATTTATATGTATTGTTGCTATTTCCTTATGAGTCATATGTAGCACTAAGAATTTTGTTAATATTATGCTTGAACACAGAACTGCCTAATATTTATGACTATTTCTATGTGAAACAAGCCACCATAATTAAACCAAGATTTTTCAGAATTTTTACATGCCTACTTCAAAAGACTTGCCATCACTGATGTTGTATTTAAACTCTTTTAATGAATTCCGCACCCAAGAAAAAAAAAAATTCTTTTTGATTAGACAATAAAAGGATATACCTGTGCAAAGAGTTCTTGGTTGGCATTGACTTCATATTTAAATTTATTAGCAAATATAAGTGCCATCGATAAAGATCCTATGTATGCAATCAATGAAATTATTAGTCCATCCACAGCTATCTCAGGTAAAATACTGAAATTAGGCAGCGAAGGTGGAGGTAATCTGCAATGAAAACATGTAGTATAGTTGTATACATTTTTACAAAAACAGTTCACTTTAATATTGGTAAACTTTATACATATACAGGGTTTCTCAGTTCTAAATGACCAAACTCTGGGAGATAATCCGAGACAAAATTTCATCTGATGTATGTGCCAATTTGAACGGAAAAGGAATTAAATCCAATTTTTTTTTTTTTTAAGATGTTCATGTTTTCTCTTTCATAGGAAGCGATAACATAAAAATTATTTAATTCAGGTAATTAATAATTGCTTCATAGTAAAATAGACAAATTTCTTTCAAATACAAGTAGTATTTGTCTTTGTAAAAACCGTTTAAAGGGGAGTTCTAACTTAAATTATGTTAAAAACCTAAATTTTGTTTTTCATTAAATCATGGATTATTTGGGATAGTGGTATTTTTAACATATTTTTTAATGAATAAAAAGCATATTTTCTTAATTAATTTACTAAAATAGATGTTAAATCACAAGAAAAATCAACAATTAACATTTTATGGTAGTTTCTCGGTGTTATTTTTGCTAAAAATACAGATACTCTAGAGTGAAAGAATATCAAATCACTTAATTTTTCACACAAGTAGAAGTGAATTTCAATTCTCTAAAAAAAAAAAAAAAAAATTGAAATAAATTGATATAGAATTAAAACTTATTAAACAAAAAAGCTTTGATTAAAGTGGGCTATCTATGGTATAGTTGTAGGATGATAAAAAACACAAAAAACATTGTGATTAATCCATGATTTAAAGAAAACACTACTTAGGATGGTTTGGTAGCTCAGAAGGCCCCTTTAAATTGTTTTGACAAAGACAAACAATATTTGAAGGAAATTTTGTCTAGTTTACTATGAAGAAATTTTTAATTACCTGAATTAAATAATTTTTGTGTCATCACTTCCCATGAAAGAGAAAACGTGACCACCTTAAGAAAAGATAAAATTGGAATTAACTCCGTTTCCATTCAAAATCAGCCCATACATCAAATGAAATTTTTTGTTGAAAATTTTGTCTAGAATCACCTCCCAAAGTTTTGCAATTAAGAACTGAGACACCCTGTAACTATATAAAGAAATGTGAATATTCATTTTTAACTCAACTCATGCACCACTGATCGATCCTTTTTAAAAGGAGGTAACTATGAAATAAAATTGAGTTAGTTCAAAGAATTATTTCTTACAGTCAGTGAAAAAAGTAACCAAAATCTTAATTATACTTGTTGACAAATTTAGTCATAAATAAAAAGAATTTTGTGAAAAATAATATGTTATAAAATCATAGTGAGAGGATTCAAAAGGGAAACATAAGATCTAAGAATCAAGCAAAGTTATAGATGAAATTCATTTGTTATTGGAATGTGTACTAGAATATGTAATTACTGCCTAGCCAAGTGGTCAATTAAGCCAAATTAGAGAAACATCTTATAAAATATGTGAATTGGACACAAAGGCTGGGGAACAACTAATGTACAATGTATGAATTGAGTAGAAAATCCAATAAATATTCAGTCCTTTATCCAATAATCAATCAAAGTTATAGCAATTTATTTGTTAGTAAAAATAATTTATTTATTTTTTGTTCACATCAAAGAAAAATTAAGTGGTATATTAAAATTTTTCCAGTAAATGAAGGATAATAAATTTTGTTTTGAATTTTTTTTTATACTATATAATAAAATAAAGATATGCCTTTTTTACACAATAATTTTCATTCTATGATAGAAACAATCAACAGTAAATTGAGATAAGAATAGAAGTCACAAAATAAATATCTACTTACCCTTTAGGAATTTTACCGACTACTCTTAGGTTATAAATTTCTGCAATATGGCCCAAGTAAGAAACTAGTGTTCCAGATGTCACAACAATAAGTTCAATAGGAATGGGGAACCTGCTTATTTTAGCAATCCTAGGCTGTAAAAAATGTAACGAAATTATAAAAATTTAAAACAAAATCCTAAAGAGTACAATATATTTTTATTTGGATAAGAGTTTTTTTGTACTATGTTATCAAGTGTTTTAAAGATAAATCCCTTATGAAAATGTATATATATATATATATATATATATATATATATATATATATATATATATATATATAAACATATAATACATTTGTAGTAAAAAAAAAAAAGAAAGGAGATGACAGTGAAAGATGTGGTAAAAAATAAAACACAAATAAGTGAAATTAAGTATTTAAAAAAAAATCTTTGTGTGATTTGTTATTTTAAAGAAGAACATTCCTATTTTATTTATTATTCCTTCTCATTTCCCATTACGTATTATATTAATTACTATTTCAAACTTTTTTATAATGAATTACATTATAATATAATAAATTAAATGGTATTTGATTGCATGTTTTATATCAATGATTACTAATACACTGATGACTCCCAGATATACACCTTCTATTACTCCTCTGTACTCCAACTCTCTATTGAAAATTAGGAATGATTTTAATCAAATTAGCACGTATGTGAATGGTAATCAGCTTTCTATAAATTTTGATAAATCAAAAGCCATTGTAATTTGTTTTGATCTGTTATAAAATACACTCTTTTCCTAATCAACTCCAAAAATTCATAATTGTTCTGCCAAAAAAGGTGGGGTTGATAGAGGTCTCACCTTGAAATACTATAGATTCAAAATTTCTCTTTTAAAACAGTTCAATTACTCCAAAAATTGTTAAATCACTATAGGAATATTTTATTCTGATTTTGTCTCTCGAGTATAATTTTTATTTAATGATTAACAATTATATTTTTGTAATGAAATTATAAAAAATTATATTAAAAACTGACAATTTTTTGTAAATATTATAACTGAATGACAAAGATGTCAAAGAACATTGAAAACGATAATGTTGTTAAAGCAATAAAATATAACTATTAATTTTTGTTTTATTTTAATATACTCATATTTCTAACACATCGGTAGCTGATATAAATAGAATAAATGAAGTACTGCAAAATTAAAAGATTAATTAAATAAAAAATTAAAGTATACAGAATAGATAAACTTTACTAACCTTTATTATTTCATTGTTAACTACAAGAATAACCATGGTAATTGCTGATATTATTACAGCTGCTACATTAGCAGTACTTAATCTCTCAAAAATGGTAGTATAAACCTAAAATGAAATAGATAAAAGAATATTACAGATAAAATATTAAATACTTGAAGTGGCATAATTGGAAAATATTTTTCCATCTAATTATTACGAAATTACTATTCTGTCTAATCATAAATGTTTACACTGTTTATGTTTTTGTTGATGTATCGTCAAATTAAGATAAATAAATTAATACAAAAAGAAAAAAAAAAATCTGGTCTGGTGAGCAACTTTCACTTAGCAACCTTAGAATAGTTAAGTATTTTCATATATAGGGAAGTCCTAGTGAAAAATACAGTTAACTTAATTTGAATTAATTACCATGTTTTTCCTGCCCATTGAATCTGTTGTTGTTTAGGACTTAGAGGTGCAAAGCCCCAAGGTCATTAATTCTATCTAATCTTTGTTTCAATTGCCTCAATACTAAATTATTTTGGGGGAAAAATAATAATAAAATAAATAAATAAAAAACAACACAAATTTCAATTTTGTTTAGCAAATCATTAACTTATGAAAATTTATTACCGACCTTACTTTAACTTCATCATTATTTAAAATATCTGTTAGTTTTGGTATGAGTCCTAATTTGGTTAAAATTTAAATGTAATAATGACACTCCTGAAAAATGTGGCTGATTGTGAGAGTACCGTAGCAGTGTTGGTATTTTGGAGTAGGCTGTTTAATTATCAAGTAAGAATGTGTTAGGTTTGTATGTCCTATCTTTAACCTAGTTAAGGCAACTTCTTCACTGCAAATAGGGCGGTTCCAGGTGGATCATGATTTTACTGATTTTTTTATTTCCTTCAATTTGCTCGGAGGGCTCTCGTTCCGCATGGATTGCCAGCCAAGAACTATATCCCTTTTGAAGGGAAGGCTTGTGTCACATTGTGTTAAAATAGCAGCATCCCGGCCTTGAAGGGTGAATGGTTGTTTGGCCGCTACGTCTGCGAGATCATTTGCAGCTATCCCTATGTTGCCCAGCACCCAGATAAAATATATTGACTTTCTCAAATCGTCGAGCATGTTTAAATATCCATGGATTTTTAAAATAGTTGGATGTCTCGGATATATATTATTAATACCTTTTAAAGAACTCAAATAGTCTGTTATTATTACTATTGTTTTGGAGGTTATCGACATGGAAAAATGGAGAGCTGAGGCTATTGCTTGAAGTTCAGTTGCAGTGGATTCTTCGGATTTTGATCCATCGGTATAGATTAAAAACGGTCCTGAAATTTTTTGAAGAAGACGAGAGAATTAAGTTTTGTATTCAGAAGATGAAGTTTTGTTTTTCAGTAATTTCAAGGTAGATTTGGTAATCAGTAAGTTGTGATAAGCTTAGTATGGTTTTTGGTGGTTTGTTTATCCACAGAGGATCGTAATGGTTTTTTTTTTTTTAAAGGTATTTACTTAAGGAATGCAGTAGCTGAGTTAATTCTTTCTGACAAAGGGAGGATTGAATTTGTTTTCTTCTCAAAAACTTTCGAAAACTTTGGCTTGAAAATATATTTATATGTTGGGTGTTCAGTTTGAGAGTATAGTCTAGAAATATAACCGTTGAATCTGTTAAATTTATATGTTTGAATAACTTTCCATCTTCTTTCATGACTGTGAATGAATGAAAAATGCTTTATTAAATAAACATAACTTATAAATTTCAAAGTATACAGAACATTTATATGGCATGATTATTCGTCTGCCAGAAATTTTCTATGTTTCACAGGTACAGTACAAATAAAGACTTTATAATAATTGCATATAAATGAATAACTGATAAGACTGTGTATAGTAGCAAACCTAATTGTTGGGAAAAATAGATCTTTTGGGTAAAATTCTGAGGTTTATTAGAAACATTTATCACGAAATTGGTAAAAAAAAATAACTTGATGTTAGTGAATATTGTATAATATTAGGTTTATATTAGTAGATTCTCAACAATTTGCATGAAATATTTTTGAGAAAGTTATCAATAAGTGATATATAAAAGTTAAACTAATAATATGAAAGTCCTGTACAGAGGGGTATCAGGTATCTGTAAACGGAGAGGAACGGCAAAGGTCGGGCACTCTTGGCTGTTTCTGTATAGCTTGCAACCTTTATTTCTCCTTTAGTTAACAATACATTTTCTTCATTCATTATATTTAACCAATTTTTATATCAGTTTACTACGTGAAATAGTTGATTATTTCAAGTTTAAAAAAAATAAGGTACTTTAGAGGAAGAAAAGAAAAAACATAAATGAGAATAAGACCTACATTATATTAAAAAAACGGTTAGTTTTACAATGATATGATGAATTTAATCAAAATTGTTACAGCCCTTTTTGAAAAAATTGTAATAATGTGTAAAATCAATAATATAAAGTGGCACTTCCGGTTAGATGATTTTGACAAAAAAGTGGATGTAACATTCTAGTCATATACGTATCTTAAATAAGTAATCTCAGTTTTGTACAACTTTTCATTTTTTAGCTAGTCTGTTCACAATCACACACACATAGAACATTTTGTAGAGCTTGGTTATTTGGACTCAAGGGATCTCAAAACGTGTATTTTTGTTGAAAACTTGGATTCGAAAATTTTCAATATCACAATACTTTCCCTTATTATACATTACATACATAGGCAAGTGAATGTAAAAAACTATACCACTACAACCCATAAATGGTCTTAGGTTCAATACTTTTCAGGAAGTACTATTTCAAGGGCAATGGTTGTGCAGGGAGGTGATAATGCTAAACTACCAGGCTTTTCCCCTTATTCAATCAATTAATTCAGGATTCCCATTTTACAGAAGCTGGTTGTGCCCCAAAAGGGTCTCCAAGCCCTAGGGTCAAACCATATCTGATGAAACAGAATAAAAAATTATCTGCAACAGCCAGATTCGAACCAGGCAAATAGGAGTACATTACCTTACTCACTGAGCTAACCAACTTTCACCCATATTCGCATACTTGAAACTGAAGAAGTTTCATGATCCATCTTAGTTTTAGAAACTTCATCAAGTTGTATCAGAAAAGTAGGTAAATTAAGAAATATTTAATATTGGAAGTAACAGTTTTTAGTTCTGCTTTTAACTTTTCTGCTTATTTTAAATTTTTATTAGAGGACATTTTATTCAGTTAGCATATGGTATCAAACTATTCATTAATGAAATGGTATTGACTATATATTAATACTTACATATACGAGTTTAAATGGCCCATTAATCACAGGTAACTTAATTCCTAAAATATCCTTTAATTGGGAAGAAAATACATGCACAGCTGCTCCTGCTGTGAAACCGCTAATTAATGTATCAGAAAGTAGTGTGCAAACTATACCCAATCGGAGTGCATAAAGAATTATCTATAAAATAAAAATGCCAAAATATATTGATTAAAAAAATAATTAATGATAATACATAGAAAATAAAAACTATAAAAAATAATTCATGGTCAATTATATTTTATATTAATATTAAATTAGAGTACTGTCAAAATAGGATTTAGTCTAAAATATAAAAGCAAAAAAAAAAAAAAGTTAGAGTATAAACAAACAAAAAATAAAATGGACAATAATTTCTTAAAATAAAAAACACTTTTATTTGCCAAGTATAAGAAAATATTATCATAATTTATTTGAAATAAAAATATTCAAAACTTTTATTTTTAGATGCAAAATTTAGAAAATGCTTAATTAATACCAATGTGATTCAACAAGATATTCATTCATTTATTGCTCTATAGTAAAGCATGAATCAGAAATTATACCTTTACACTTCAAAAATATATTTTCTATTTTTATAAAATATTTAGTAAAGAAAAATTTTAATTGTATATAGAAAATAACTATTTTTTCACATTTCAATCATTCAAATAAATACACAGGCTGTTTCATTTCTCAAGAGCTAAGCTTTAGAAACCAATTATACAATTAAAAAAATCTAAAAAACCATCACTGCAAATAATATTTTATATTGTTTTATTTTTTCTAACTTTGGTACCTTGGTGAAAAAAATCTTACATTTTAAGATATAAGTCTGATTATTCACTATTTATCAATCTGATAATATCTATGGGGTGTAAGAGGCACAGCTTAGAGGTAGACATATATGTATATGTATATATATATATTTTTTTTTTTTAATTTATTTTTTTTTTTTTTTCGGTTGGCACTACAGACCATGAAGATCTTTGGCCGCGAGATGTGGTCTCCTTACAGATGTGTGATACTTGTGGGAGCTCAGAAAGCATGGAGGGGGTCACCCAACCTCATGTTGCTACGAACCATGGTTTCCATGGTGCAGTGGCAGGCCACCCATAGCTCCATAGCCGATCCCTTTGGGGCCAATCTGGCAATGTCCTTCCCACCGACTTTCTCAGGTTCAAGGACAGTGACAAATTGGTCTAGATCCATGGATTACGGCTGCTCGAAGCAGCGCGAGGTGCACGAGGACCTATATTTCTTTCCCCGAAACAGACTGTCCATGGAGTAAACCTCAGGGGGGCTATTAACATCCTGGTAAACCACATCCCGATTTAAATACACGGGGTATGGTCATCAGTCCTACGCCCGATCGGTGTTAGTTGCCTAAAAATTTTGTTTAGTATTATTGGTATATATACTTAATACAAAATAAATTTTAAAAAACAACATAAAAATAATCAAATATTTATTAATTACCTTCTATTATAATTTCTACAATGAATGCTAACCACTCAATTCAAACACTCATTGGGTGTAGGAGCCCTTATGAAAGCCTGCAATTTAGGCCAAAACGTCATCACAAAATGAAATAAAAATCTTATATTTTTATTTGTGTGATCTCTCTCACTGTAACCCCCAACCAACTTTCCAACCAAAATGTTAAATATTTGTTTGAAAATTTTGATTATATATTTTTTATTGTTTTTGTAAAGTTAAATTGTTTCCCAGAGTTTCATAATTGAGAAAAAAAGACAACCTGTTTATCTATTAATGAATGAATGAAGTTTGTATTATAAAATATACCATTAGAGCAATAATGAAATAATTAATAATTTTAGTTATGATTGGTTTAATAAAACTATTTTATCAATGATGTATTCTATAAAAAATGGTATAGCTTTGTATAATAATAAATATTAGAAAAATGAGTAGGATGGGCTTATTACTACTGTGGATGTAGTTTTATAATCCTCCAACACTGTCATCACCACCTATGCCGATGACACGTGTATCCTATCAGTTAATAAGGATCCATCTATTGCATCCCAAACTCTTCAATCACACATCACAAGTCTTGAAAAATGGTGTCAAAACTGGAAGATTAAAATGAATGCCAATAAATCCCATGAAATTACCTCCACTCTTCGTCGTAAACCTATGACTTCCTGTCCTACAATATCCTTCAACAATAGCCCTCTTATCCCTGTCGAACAAATCTGATACCTAGGACTCCACCTGGACAAACGACTCACTTGGAACCCCCATACCAGACTGAAACGACTAGAAACAGCCCAACGTTTTCGACTACAGCAGCACTTACTAGACAAATGCTCTAAGCTTTCAATCAATTACAAACGACTCATATATTTGACAATAATAAGACCTATTTGAACTTAAGGAATTGAGCTTTGGGGCTCCACTAAACCATCTAATTCCTTTCGTATCCAATCCTTACAATCCAAAATCCTTTGTAAAATCCTCAATGCTCCTTACTTTGTCACAAATAAAATCATCCATAAAGACCTTAATGTTCCATATGTTTCCGATTTGGCCCAATCCAAATACCTATCCTTCCATAACAAACTGCAGAACCATCCGAACCCTCTTGTTTTAAACCTTGCTTCCTCCTCGATCCCTGATAACCCTCTGAGGGGTCTGAAAAGAAAATGGCCTCGGGACCTTCTAATATAGAACTTTAATTCGAGTTTTACCAATGGGTAGTTTCTCTTCATATTGTACATGTAATGTTACCAATGTCACATTTACTTGTTGTATTTTTCATGTAATACAGTTATAAATTTCATTAAAATAAAATAAAAAAAAGTTTTATAATCCATATATAAATTTTTAAACTATTAGTCATAAATACAAGAAAAGGCTTAGTTTTGTATATTATTTATACTTAATAAAAAAAAAAACATAAAAATAATCAAATATTTATTAATTACCTGATACATTCCTACAAGGAATGCTAACGTTGAACCTATTCCTAATGCTGTAATTTGAGCCATAGCTGGATCTTGATCATGATCAGTAACATGTTTATTGATAGTATTCCCAGTCATTAAGCATATAACAGCAAAAGAACCTTAAAAAAATGACAATGTTCTTGAAAATTAATTATTTTATGAAAATGACTCAATTTGATAAATATAATATGAACCAAGAAAAAAATAAAGATAATAATGAATTAAATTTTTTTTTCAGAACTATCACTTCTTCTGAAATGTCCTTATTTCTTTTCCTGAAAGCTATATTAATATAATCAATATAATTCCCGAACCAAAAAAAACATACTATCCGATATTGTTCTTACCTATAAAATAAAATTTAGGAAAAACTTCTATTAAATTGTTTCTATCTCATTGTAGATTCCAATCAATTTTTTTTTACTCATAAGAATGAATTCTGTTGGTCTCGTTCAAGTAATGATACTGTGTGATGGGTGTTGTCTGCATTGGATAATAGATAGAAGTGGAGGATAAATTCAAACCAAATACTACTCTAGGGACATAAAGAGATGACAAATGTCATACTATCAGTGAAAAATTACCTATTTATGGGATCCTACATTTCCCAGCCACAAATTACAACTCTTAAATAATAGCTGGAAATATCTTACCCATTGAAACATGACGGGATGTCCCAAGAAATGCATATATGATCACTGGGAAAAATGCCATGTAAATTCCAACCACTGGAGGTACATTGGCAAGTAAAGCATAAGCCATTCCTGGAATGAGATAAAAAAAATAATGGTTTAGAACGCTGAAATTACTTAAATCTCATCATAAGCATATTAATACTTGAATAATAATTTACCATTTTTAATTACAAAACTAAATATTTCACAGCTAGTTTAGACCATTATCAAGAAAATATATTTTTAAATTTAAATGAATTTTTACCCATATATTACCTATGCTAAACACCTGTGACTCCTCAGTATTCAGGATTTAGTTAAACCTTTAAGGGGTAATATTTAAGCTAAATGTACCAATAATATACAATTTAAGAAAATTTCGCAACATTAATGTGAATCACAACTTAAGTTCTGACGGTGGATCTTTGCAAATGGGTTAAATTAACAGAAAATTTAGTGTTTTACCAATTTCGTTTATTCTATACAGTCAATTAGTTTATTATTCATGAAAGACTTAGGAAATCCTGACAGAGTATTTTGTACCGGTAATAGACACCCAGGTTTAGGGGTCAACACATTTTTTTATATAATTAAAAAAAACAAAATAAATAAAAACATCAAACTCACTTCCTAAAGAAAAGGGATAAGGAAAGCTCACTGAAACAAACTTGAAAAATTAACTTAAAAAATAAACCAATCAGCTATTGTGGCGTGATAACTTTAAAATAAGATGTAATATAATATTGTACTCTCAAATGATTAGATTTACACTGTAAAATGCTATTGAATAATTTGTGAATTTAATTAATATTTTTTATATTTTATTTGGTGGGTTAATCACTGTGTCATCAAAAATTAGAAAGTAATACGCAATTCGACCCAAAACTATTTAAAAAACAAGTGAACCATTACTGACCATGTTGTATATTTTAGAATGTTCGAATAAGTTTAAGTCTAGGTCTGTTGCAGAGACTATAGTTATACAACATCTGACCGAAAATGAACATCAGCCCATCATCATAGCTTCTGCCAATTAGTATAATGTTAAAAGTTACAGTGATGATTGATTAATTTCTTATTAATATTTCCTATAATTCATTTTACCCATTTGTATTATGTAAATTTTGTTTTTATATTAATTTTATGAAAGGTTTTCAATATTTATGTCAGTTCCAAAATATTCAAGTAAAGTTATTTAATAGCCCTGAAGTCATGGCCAAAAGAGGATACTCATTTTAGGAGAAGGTTTAAATTCAATTACAAAATTTTATTTCTTATTACATAAAATATACTTAGTCTGTCATTCCAAAGTCAATGCTATAAAAAATAGCGATCATGTGGAAATATCTAAAATTTCCAAAATGAACAAGATACCAGAATGGACAAAGCATTTATAGATGCATCTTTCTTCTAAAAGGTGTTGGTGTATTAGTGTATAAAATGTTTGAAATTATTTCTTAATGGAATTGCCAGAAGCTCTGAAGATGGGCTGATGTTTATTTTCAATAATATGTTGTAAAACTATTGTCTTGCATTGTTGGCGCATTGCAACACCCTTCTAGCTGTTTTGAATATTCTAATTATTAAGGGATTACTCATTATGGGAGTATATAATGCTGGAGCAGTGCTGACATTAGACATTTGGCGCCTCAGAACAATGAGGTCACCCCCCAAAAAAAAAAATTTTTCCAAAGTGTTTTATATTGAGCAATATTTGAATTTAATTTCGTTCAATAATTTTTTTAATTGGCATAGTAATAACACAATTTGCCACAATCAAAGTCATTAGGTATTACGGCTCTATGTGTTTATTCATACCGTCTATAAAAAAGGTAAAATACGAAATGGAAAACTAAAGTAAAATAAATAAATTGAAAAAATCCATAAAATAACTAGATAATAATAATAATACAAAAATAAAATAATTAAATAAAAAAACAATAAAATAAAAATAAATTAGTTAAATCAAAAACAATAAAATAAATAACCATGATAATATTAATAATAAATAAATATTAAGTCAATATTAATTTAGTTGAGGTCACAGGCGCGTCTAGGAGGGGGGCTTTCTGGCTGAAGCTTCCCCCAAAATGGTAAAATGTAACCACGTTGGTACAAAATATTAATATATTATCTCATAAATAATTATTGTTAGTGTAATTACATTTAATGGGACTCTAAGAATCACTTTAACACCATCTCATACAGGTAGTTAGTATCTTTATTTTTTTCTAAAGTAATTATCGTTATATATATGAAAAAAATCTTTCGGGCTGAAGCCCCCAAAATTAAATCATGGAGCCGCTAGTGGTTGAGCTTTGTTATGGAATAAGTTGAATTCGCCTTTAGTTATGTAAAAAAAAATATGTGATTTGATTTTTTGAAATTTCACCAAAAATAACGATAAATTATTACTAAGTTTTCATTTCTTTTTTTTAAGCAATTCCTTTTACTTAGATGACACCCTCTATAATATATAGTACATATTACCTGTAATATATAAAAAATTATCTCTTTCAAGACATAAAAATAAATTATAATGATAAAATTTTATAATTACCTTGTGGGATGTTCATAACTGCTACAGTAAAACCTGAAATTGCGTCTTTCACCAGCCATTCTTTCCAGTTATATTCTGAGAGCCATTTGATGGCAGGAATTAAACTCGTGCAAGCTTCCTTTGGGTTGCACTCTAATTTAATCGAACGTTCTTGGAAAGAAAACAATATAAATTAAAGACACATTTAATTGGTGATGTGAAATTGAAATATAAATTATATTTATCAGAAAATAAAATGTAGTAAGACATGTCAAAGTTATTGTTCAAGTTATCAAGTCCAATTGGCAACATTGTTTTTAACATCACAGTTACGTCAAAATTTTCTTTATAGCGGTTAAAGTCAGATACGTTTTATGCATTGAAAAAAAAAAATGTAACGCAACAGTAGAATTTTGTTGTTAAAATATGGAGTCATTATTTACGTACAATATTTATGCCATGGTAAGACCTTATAAAGCCTCCAAGCAGCAAAATATTAATAATAATTAATTCACAAAATTACAATATTAAAATAAATGATGTAGCGGGGAAGGGAAAAGGGTGAAGCAAAATGTATTATGTATATGAGGTGTAAGTTCTGTTCAAAGATTCTTGTCCATAACTTGCATAATATGTCATCTCCCCAAAACAACTTGGTTGGTTCAGAGATGTCAAAAAGGCTATTATGTCAAAAAAGAATCGGTTTAGGAGAATTTACAGGTCTTGTGTTCCTTGGTTCAGTTTAACATGAAGTACTCGTTTCGGGCGAAATCTAAAATGAGTCACTTTTGTCACATCAGATCGGAAATGTCATATAGAACAATAATTTCTCAATTCATTAATTACTACGGCAGCAAAGCTGAATATTAAGGGCGTATTCTAGGTTCCATCGTTCAACTTGATTAACTTAAACTGAGAATCAATGCAATAAGATTTAACTGGATCCATTGTTAAGGAAGATTGGAAAATGTTATTGTCATAATTTTTTATGTTGACCATGCGGAAAGTTGTGGTACAACGCATGTGCAGTTTCCACTGATCCCTAACGTGAGTGAATTATGACGTCATTATCGAAACCAGAAGCTGAATGTTCTGTCTATGTCAGTTAACTTGTTTTTTTCGATGTCTAGGCGCAAAAGATCTAGGTCATAATCGCCCTATCAACTAAATACAACTTTTATATTGTATAGGTGGTTGGTACAAAAAAATAAAAAAAAATAATACAAAATAATTAATAGAATAAAATAAGTAATAAAGATAATAATAAACACTTAAAGAAAATAAGATAAAATAGATAAATAAATAAACTTAGAAAAATAGATATCAATAAAATCAATAAATGAACTGAAATAAATGAACTTAAAAAAAAAAAATAAATAAAAAAGTAAAAAAAAAAAAAATCTGCAAAGGATCATCAGTTATAAACTTCTCATTAATGTTTCACAAGACTTTTATTGTCTAGGAAATCCATAAATTTAGTAATGATTTCTTCCTGGTTTCCCAGGGACGCTGATATATTCTGGGGTATTCCAAGATCTTTTAACCTTGCGGTATAAAACTTACTTAACTCTACTTGTAAAAAGGTCGCTTTACTTCCTAGGCATTTTCAAAGTAAAAAATAATATAAGATTATAATTGTTCATAAATGTTTAAGGTTCTAATATAAAGGTTCAATCATTTCTGTCTCTTGGTGAGTTTTTTATTGATTCATACTAAAATAATATATTTGGCCTAAAATATATTATACAATTTTTTGTTACCTTCTCTTTTCATTATGTAATTTATCATGATTTCTTGTACTTTTTGTGAGCTTTCGGATATTATTTCTATGGGGGAGGGAATCTAAACCAAAGAAACTTGGATCCCTCGAGCTTCAAAGCGAAATACGGAACAGGGGTGCCCACAAGGGAGTTTGATGGCTCAAGTTCCGCCATCATAATTTTTGAGGGGGACACATTTTGACGGAATTTTGAATTTTTGGATTGAATTGTTTCAGACAAAGAGACAAAAGACATGAAACAAACCTCAGCAAGTGTAATTTTGTATAATTTACGGTACTTTTATTTCTAATGTTTTTAAGCTCAACCGCGTTACTGGTACTAAAGCCAGTGGAGATTGAAAAATACATATTAATGCAAAATTTCAAGTAATTTTGTTTCCTCGTTTCGGCTGTAGCTACATAAAAGAACAACTAGATCTGACAAGATAATATGTCATTTTAGAAGTATTGTATCTCAGCTCTCTAAAGTTCGAAAGCAATAAAAATTTAGGCATTACCCTCCTCGTATTAAAATAAAGACCATATATTTGCAAAGATACAAATACAGCATTTGTTTTCTTAATACTTTAATGCAGATTTTTTGCGTGGCAGAGTGGAAAAAGCTGAGACGTTTCTAGATTATGGTTTAATCCTCGACGGGATAAATATTCAGAAGTCGTTCATGTGACTCAAAAAAAAGACGATTTAGCTGTATAATGTTAAATAGGATCACCCATCTTCCAGTTGACAACATAAACTCCAATTCAACGTGTATCTGTGGAACTGGTCTGTGATTGATATATATATATATATATATCAACATCTTACGCCCCAAACTATCTTTAATGAATCCTAAACCTTATATCATCAAATCTTTCCAGAACTTTTCCATAATCAAAATTCATTGGCCCAATTTATATGTAGCTGAAACCACCCCTACCATGTTCCCCGAAGATTAACCACAACGGCAATGGTAACGCGAACGTTTAAAAAATATGAATTTCAGAGTCTTAACACTGACCAGATTTTTTTCAGACAATCTTTGTTATTGTGGCATATAGACCTTTACTGAGCTTTACAGTCTCTAGAGATATCTTGGCTCGCAAGATGGAATGTGGTAATTTTATTATTATTTGGATAGCTATAAGTTATTCTATCTTATTATTATTTTGATATGGTTTAAACGAGATTTATTGTATCGTTATTATTATGGTATTACATCATTATTACATATTGTTCACAGAGGATGGATTGGATTTTTTTTTTTGGAATGGTTGTTAAAAAAAAGTTAAATCAATCATATTTAGTTTAATTATAATGTGTGGTATAAATTTATGTATTGTTTTATTTTATTTTCCTACATTGATTAAAAAAAAAAAAAATATCACACGGGCTCAAAGTTAATAAATTTTCTCTAAATTGAAGTTACAAATTCATGTACTCATAAAAACCATTTTGTACTAATATTAATGTTATACAAACATGGTTGTTACGTAATAAATATCAAACAAAATTTAATAAAAATAATATATCAAAATACTGATCATGAAGTATACAATTTTTTGTTACACATAAATTGCTTATGTGTACTAATTTTAATACAAGAACTAAATTCCATGCTAAAATAAATACTTTGATATTAAAGAAATTTCTGAATGTTGATAGTATTTTATTCAAACGGAACAGGCACACTTCAGCACTCTGAAAATTTTGAGCGTGCGGCAATTTTTCAAATTGGACAGAGAGAAGATAAAAAATATTATGAAGTCATTTATTGGACAGCATTAAATAATAATGCATACATATTTTTAATAATAAGATATATATGAATAACTTCCTCAAATATGCTTTAAAATGAACACAGGTAACTGGATTTTATAGCTGTTTTTACAATTTCATACGTCTTTCATGATGGGAAACTGTTTACAAATCCAGCAGCCACTGACAGTTATTATAATCATATTAAAACTATACCATAATACTTCAATGAGGAATAATTCAGTTTAGAGATAAACCATAGATAATATTAAAAATAAAACAAAATGGTAATTAGAGAATTAAGACACTTTTCGGTATAACCAGAAATGTATTTAAAAATAAATAAAACGCAAAACAAATCGTTTAAAAATTTTATAGTAGCTATTATATATATTTAATCTAACACAATACATACGGAAATTGGATAAAATAAAATTTAAAAAAAAAATGATCGTTAACTGTTTACTATCTTAAAATTCACTCATTTATTAGCTATATATTCATCCTAGACTGTTAATCTCTGTTAAGATGGAATCTTCAAGGTAGTAGTACATTGTCAAAAATCTTGAGGAAATCAATTTACGTCATCTCGTATTTGTTGATAACATTGAAAATAATTCAACTGATAGGTAGTTATTTTTAATATTGTCCCCTATTCTAGAATCAAAAATTTTTGGTATTGCTATATTTTTGAAAAACAATGCCGCCGTTAACTGTTTCGGTATTAGTATTTACCAAGGTTTTAGTTTTGTAAATATTAAATCATTTTAATATAATATATAAATAATATTTACTTAGGAGAGATTCTTTCTTCGGCTCATCCACTTCTTCGACTGCTTCTCTCTGAATTAATACTTTTCTACTGATGTTAATTTGGGCATTTACCTCCTCCATTGCCAAGTACTGCCGCCTAACAGTGGTACCTGCCAGAAAAAATAAAATAGAAATAAATAAATGCAAATAACAAACATAATAAAATAAATAATAAAAATTAATTGATTATTAAATAATATATTTAATAATAATATCGAACCATTATTTGATGTATTTATATTAATGGAGTTGTAAATATCATGAATAAATATAATAAGGGAGGGGGGAGGTTCATGGGCCATCGATCTTGGGGGGGGGGATGGGCACCCCTGATAGAGATTAATATTATATTCGTTGGGTTACGATATATTTATAATCAGTTTCAAGAATAAAATGATCAAAAATATAACATTTTATTTTACATTAATCATATTAGATAAAGGAACTAAAGAATATCTATATCCTTATTTTAAAATAAAATGTCGGCCATCCTCAAAGAATATTTCTATAAGCTTAGTGATATATTACTCTCCTCTAACATACTATTCCAGACTGTACATGTTAAAATTTTATATGTCATAACTGTTATTTCCTTTATTATGTTATAGTTGGAAACAATCAAGCACAGAGCCTTGCACTCTAAAATGCAAGTAAAGAACAAAATAACCTGTTAATTTTTCACCAATTGAGGCATCATCAGGCAAATAAAAAACAACAGAAAAAAACAAGATCAGATCCCTCTATGACATTCAAACACACACTCCGCCAGAAACATGCCATCAATTCGCACAGTTATTGACTGAATTCATATTTTTATCGTTAAATGTGGCTTTTATTTCATGAATAGAATTAAGATAAAAAACAAAAAATCAAATCAAACCGTAATGGATAGACGGCTATTCAACAAAATATATTAATTTTGGCACAAAATAAAATTATTTATTTTATTTGTATTTTTCTCACTGACTGCAACGAGAAAAAATTCATGTTTAACATTTTTGGATGGTAACTTGACATTTTTTATTTTCAATATCTACAAACACTATTCTTTAATATAACACTATTACTTTCTGAAAATTACAACACTCACCTAATAGGTGATAAGGATATCCGAAACGTTACTAGAAAATAATGTTTTGAAACAAATATCTAGTTAAAACTTTTTATATTTAAAACGTCTTTTGAGATATAGCAGTTCTCAAGCTTAATTGATATTATAAACTAAATAAAAAAATCTTCTGGAGCCACTAGGCCAATGAGTTATCAATTAACTTCTTTCACGAATTTCGAATACTTTATAAAGGGCGAGTGTTACAGTTTAATTGTTAATTAAATGATGTTAAAAATTTGTTACAGATATCGTATATATTTAAAATATTGAATATTTTTAAAAGATATTATATATACATATATTGTGTGAGCGCGCGTGCGTGTCATGGTTCTTTTACGAATATTTAAAGTTATTTTATTTTTAAGAAAAACTATAACAGCTAATAATCTGTTGTTTTTTTTGTAACGCTTTATATTATTTTATTATATCTACAATAGTAATACTAATGAGTATTATATAATATCTATCTTGAGCAGATATAGCAATGATAATACAAATATTACATGTTTACATGACTTTGTATCATTTTAATTAACTATTTTCAATTAAAATTAAAAATTCTTCAAATAAAAATTATTAGTAAAAACAAGATATTTGAAAAAAAAATGAATATTTTCTACAAGAGATTTTACCTACTGTAATGTCGTATATTCAGTATTATTTCATAGGCTCCTTAGAGTTTGTGATTTAAAGGTGAAAACAGCAAAAAAAAAAAAAAACCGAGACAATAAGAAAATTTTTAGTCCGTTTTATAAGAGAAAAACGTTCCCGCCAATATTGAATTTTAAAACTACTGATTTTATTTTGTTAAAATAAACATTTAATTTTTTCGTTTGTTTTTTACTAGTACTGGGTACCTTGGGAGCAGAGGTAGGCCCTAGAAATATCTCTGTGGTAAGCTTCCCAGGTCAGAGATGTTTCGACAAAGCGTGTCCAACCGTGTAATTTCATTTATGACGCTTTTGTAACTGTCTTAGATAACGTTTCCTCTAACCAGTGCGATATCTACCTCAGCCGATAGTTGCATTGATCAAGTGTTGTTGATGTTGATAAAGTAGTGATGTTACCAAGTAGAAGCAGTTCCTACGGAGTATCCATCATAAACCTGACTTTCTTTGTTAGAAGTATTATTTCCTCAAACGAAATAAAGATTTCGCCTAAACTAAACTAAACTAAAACATAATCTTATCGAAATTATTCCTCTATGAAATACTAAGGTGCTTCCTGATTAATCAGAAATAAAGTTTTCGTTTTAGTCCATTTGTAGGTTCTTTTCGGAAGGATTACATCAAGTTTATTTTCCCAAAAAAGTCATGTAAACTAGCTAGGCTATAACCAACTAAATAAATGTTCACCATTGATAAAAAAAAATCTGATTTTCAGAAGCGAATCCAGGGTTTAAATTTTTCTGTCAACGGTAATTATTCTAAAAGAAAAAGAGAAAAATGCTTCAATATGCAATGTTTAAGTGGGAAAAATGAGTGAAGAAAAAAAAAACACGGGGTTTACTGGAACAACAGTGGTTTTAGAGATAAATTTCATATATTCTTGGTAGGACTCCAGCTGGACAAACATCTCACTTGGAATCCTCATACAAGACTGAAACGACAAGAAACTGCTCGACGTTTCCCCTTACTCCAACACTTACTGGACAAACGCTCTAAACTTCCATTTAATTGCAAACGACTTATATACATGACTATAATAAGATCTATTTGGACTTATGGAGTTGAGCTATGAGGCTCCACTAAAGCATCAACTTCCTCTCGTATCCAATCTTTACATTCCAAACTCCTTCGTAAAATCCTCAATGCTCCTTACTTTGTCACAAATAAAATAATCCATAAAGACCTCAATGTTCCATATGTTTCCGATTTGGCCAAATCCAGATATGTATCCTTCCATAATAAATTTCATAACCATCCGAATCCTCTTGTTTCTAACCTTGCTTCCTCTTCGATTCCTGATAACCCTTCGAGGCGTCTGAAAAGAAGATGGCGTCGTGATCTCCTCATGTAGACAAATTATTAGAGTGCTACCAATGGGTAGTTTCTCAACAAGCGTGTTTCATGTGATTATATTCCTCTGTACGCATTTACTTGATGTATTCATACTGATATAGTTGTAAATATCATAATAAAAGTTAAAAAAAAATATATTCTTAAATTCTTATATACTTCCATTTAGTAGGTGTTAAAATATATCATAAATTGAAAAAAGAATATATAGTGATTGTTTATATATTCAGCTTAGAACACTTACATAAACAAATATGGAACAATGAAAAAAAAAAAACATTTTGAGGCTTCATTCCGAAAAAAAAAACACCTTCTCAAGTTAAAGTTAGAAGAACGTTATCGTCAATTTGAAAGTTTCAGATTAAGTTTCAGCGAAATTTTCCTAAATGGGTATTTACTTAGTTAAATAAAGTTGACCGCTCTGTTGAGAAAAGGATCAAATTTTCCAGTGAAAATGAAGATTATTTACATTTAAAGTTATATGTATATTTCAACTTAATATATAAATAAATAGTATTTATTAATATTTTAACGGATTCAACAGCTGGAAGGAAATATTCTGATTTGTTAACATTTCTAGTTGAATGAATGAAAAGAAATCAAGAGTTTTGGGTTGAGTATTATGTTAGTAAGTACTGTATCAAGGCCAACGGTTGTAGAGGCAGGTCATCCACGCTCCAACCTCCAGGTTTTATTAATTAATTAATTATATAATTAACTATGTTGGTCCAGTTTCTGAATGATGCAATTATTTTGCCAGTACCTCCTTCTTCTGGCACTCCCTCCTCTCAGCGGTGCTAGCTCGAAAGCTCTTACAACAGCTAAGTCTGATTGTTTTTATTATTTAGTTGAGGAAACATCGCCTAAATGACGAACCGATACCCTTTGGCGTCAATTCTTCTTCGTTGTAGCGGCGAATTCTAACGTTTAAAGTAATTCATTTATTCGTATTACAGATATAGTAGCTTTTTTTCTTACATACTTTATCGTTACCACTGACGAATATTATAAATTATAAAAATCTATTATGAACTTGTATTTTATCTTTCCCTTGAATTGCCTAACCAGAACGGCATTACAAAATGATTTTGAGTGTAGCACAACACTCACCAAGTACTGGAAAAATTCTCTGTATCAACATTGTTTACGGTTCTACAAAAAAATGTTGAGACGTGCCTGAGCCAATCGATTATTTCAAACAGATTTTCACTCAGGTTCAATTTATTACTTATATTTATTTTGTTTGTAATATTTTATCAACGAAAGAATTCACATTAAACAATATTTTGCTCTCATACCTCCATATAAAAAGTTCTTTTAGTTGTTAGCGTTATTTTTGTCGTTGTTTCGATTGGTTTAGATAAATATATCATAAAATGGTTAATAAAAAGTAACGGTTAATATAACAGTTATAGATCAGAAGAACGAAAAAAGAAACAAGGAATCCCTAAGAAGGAACTACTTCATCAATATGACGAAGCGATACCTTTAACATAGATTAAATAGCGATAACTTGGTCAAGTTGAGAGTGCCCACTTTATAGAGACTGGGTGTGATCAGGATCTTGAGCTTAGCAGCCCAGTGCCTAGCTCACTGAGCTACTCCGCACCCTGCATTTGATTTAGGGTCCTAATATTTACACAATCATCAATTCTAATTTCTTTCTAATGTCAATGTATTTTGTGTTAGTAATTTTTAATTATTTCAATATTTGTGTAGAACGAAGATTCTTAATTCTTCGCAATTTTTACAAAAAATAAACACAAACATTACTTTTATTGCCTTAAACATACAATTTCCATGCTGATAAAAATGTGTACCTATATAATTAGGCAAAATAAAAATAAATAAACGCCTGATATAAAATAAAAAATATAATTTTATAAAATATTATTGAAATAATTTGGAAAGTACCTGAAAAGCTTTCACTAACACTCATGAAAATATTAGTACTAAGTAGGTCAAGGAATGGAAGGCAACG